TGGCCGAGTAGGCCCTAGTTCTTATTTTTTGAATTATTTAGGACATGTGTAGGTACCGTAAGCGCGTTTCAGTTCCCGAAAAAAAATTCATGAAACCTAGGGACCGCCCGTAGGTGTAGTGAAAATCTAGTTTTCGGCGTTAAATCAAGTAAGGACCCCTCACCCTATTTCTTATCATGGAATTGAAGTCTGAATAAATGATAATATTGTATTTTGTACAAATTAAATAGATATGCATAATTAATTACGGTTGCTAATGGAGTCCGAACTAGACATATTTCTCTGTCAATTCCTGTTTGATTTATTTTACAGTTTAAATGCATTATGATATCTGGTTTATTTATTTTATGGTTTCAAATGCATGAATCACTACTTACTTTACTACTGTTTGATTTTGGAAATCTAAGATATGCTTGCTTTGTTGGATGTACGTTACTTGTTTATGTATTCGTGTTTGAGTTGGTAACGAATACTAAGGAAAAATAGGAAAAGGGTATGATTTGATAAATGGATAAGATGATAGTCTTATTAGATATCTTAGGAGATGATGGACGGATCGGGTTCATAGGGAACCCTACCGTGAACGTTATTTCATACCGGACAGGGTATGGAGACTTTATTATTTTGGCGCTCATACCGGACGGGGTATGGGAATGACCCACTTCACCCTCATACCGGACGGGGTATGGAGACGGCCCTGGAATTAAGTTTGTTAAGGAGTATGGTTCACGTGTAGCGGAGACGGAGACCCCTATGGATCTCCATGGATATTAGTAGGATGATAAAAAAGGACAATTGTTGTTTGATAATTTGAATATAAAAGTATGATATGTGCTATATTACGGATTATATATGAATTCATGATATTTATAATGTTATTGTTTTCATATGTTGTTTTTATAAATCTCACTGCGGTAAGTGGACGGTAAATAGTTTGATTATTGATAAATAAATTTGTTTAAATCTACTGCTACATTGGTTGTTTTAATTTTAATTATGATGTCCTCGCTATAGCTTCTAGTGATCACTAGATTGATAGTTGTTATAATTCTTATTTTTAACCAATTTGATTAAATATTGATTAAAAAATTATGATTATCTTTTTACTACAAGTAAATTATTATTTAAAATTTATTCTATACATATAAGTTCAAGAATTTTTATAAATGTATTACAATCGGTTTGATTGAACGTATACTAGGATTAGGTTAAGGAGAATAAAGATGAATAGGTTAAATGAAGGAGAGTCGAGAAGATAATAATTAGAATTTTGTTTTTTTCTTAAACTTTAATTTCAACTCATTCTTTTTGCCTCAAACCAGAAGTCATAAGTTATTTCTTCACAAACAAACTCCAAGCTATTTATTTAAAGAAAATTAAAAATTCAGAAATTATTTTATAATGAAAAATATTTAGAATTAAAATAAACTTAGGGTTAAATTAGAGATTAAGATAATAAATTTCTTCTAAAAATAAAATAAGTTTAACCCCGGTCCAGTATAGCAACGGCGTAAGCACCAGCGGAGCAGCCGCTGTGATTTTCTTCCCCCCAATTCGTCTCTCTTCTCCATCGACCAAAAACCAGGTTCCTCCAAATCCTTATTTGCTACCGTCTGACTAGAGCTAAGAATCAGTAAACAAAGTATTCTAGGTTAGGCGAATCTCCTGCCAAAACAAGTTTCTTTGCTTCTGCATCACTCCATTACAACAACTGTAGCAATCTGTTAATCGCCCTCTAGGGCAACTCTGGTTCAAGCATGGCAATTTCATATCCTACTTTCCGAAATCAGAAACAAATGCGCTAAACCTTCACCAACACGGTCATAATCTTTCCGCATCCTTTTTAAGCCAGCTGAAATCAGAGTTTGAAGATCGGATTTCAGGCTTTTCCGAACAAAAGAGAGGAAAATGGCATTTTTCGGTTCACTCAGATCAGCAATCTTCGACAAGGAAGATCGAAAACGGTTGCGTTTCAACCATACTTTTTGCAATTCCTGCTATTCATTTCGTTTCCGTAATACCAAATGAACATATACACTAGCTGTTTACGTATATGAATGCATTTTTTTTTGTTTCTGCGTATGTATATATATGCTTTCGAGTGACGACCTTTGGATGCTGATACAGGCAGTACCAAGCTCATATTCGTGGCCTTAATGCATACGACCGGCACAAGAAGTTCTTGAATGATTACGGTATCAAGTTACAGTATTTATCCGTCCTTATATATGTATTCCGCTTGTGAATGAATAAACACGCGTGTTACTTGAATGTTTTTGTTCCTTTTTATTTTTTTCAATTGGATGCTGTCACTTGTATTTGATAGTCTGATGGAAATTCGTTGCTGGTATGTTTTGAATTGTCGCTAGAGGATTTAGGAACTTGATTGATACTTTGTTGGGGGGTTAGTGGCACTAAATTATTGATATGATTGCTCAAAAAATGGGACATTAGGGAATTGGTGGCAAATGGTGAATGGTTTATTTGTTGAATCCCAATGTCCTACAGTAAAATGGATGATGAACAATCTTCTCCTTTGAGTATGGCAGGGGGCTACAATCATCCTTACACTGTTTGTCTATGGGCTAAATCATGTTCTTCTATGTGTTGCATAAGTTCTAGTGCGTTTAGTGCGTTACCAGATATGGTAGATGTTAGTTTCATCTGGGCGGTATACTTGGATGTGGAATATGCATAGAAACATTGGTAAACCTTTTCTTTTTTTCAATGAAAATGGATTTCCTTTTCTTTAATGTAATATGTATCTTCTCCAGAGTAGGTATCAATTTGCATGAAAAGAAAAATCAGATTCAAATTTATTAGTAGGAAAAAATGAAAAGGTTTAGGGGAAAAAGAATTGCTCTTCTAATGCATTTTTCTTCTAGGTAAGCATTTAGTAAGAATAATGAGAATACAGGAAATAATGGTGCCATTTCTCAGCATTTAGCACTATGCATCCCTATGTAGCCACTTGTAACTTAATGGACATGCATGTTAGCTAAAAAATTGCACATTTCTGACTGAATTTTGTTACTTTGACTTGTCTAATTACTTTTCTAATGGGAGACTTTGAAGTTTACCGAGTGATGTGTGGTATTTTTAAATTGTTGCACCATTGAGTTCTGAGGATTTGGGAACTTGAGTAACATTCTATTGGGTAGCTTAGCTACATTTAGTTTTTGAGATGCTCATTGCAATTGTGGGACATAAAAGGAATCAAGTAAAATGGTGAGTGGTTTATTTGTTGAATCGTTGCGTCCTATAGAGAAGTGAATACTGAATGATCTTCTCCATTAAGTATGGCAGAGAGCTATGATCATTGCTATACACTTCCTTTGGACAAAGCTATGTCCTACCTCATTTAGTGTAAAAGCTACGTTCTATCTGTTCAGTGATGTAGTTTATCTATGTGGGCTGTGCATTTGGATGTGGGATTGCATAAGAACTATCTATCAGGGTTGTGAACCACAATGACTCTGGGCCCTTTTTTTGTTTAAAAACACTTTGAATCATGAGAAAGCTTTTGTCATTGCTGCTGCTACTTGGACCAATATGTAGTAAGTTTATAAGCCAATAAATATGTTTGTTTCCTGTTTTTCCTTTGTAGTTGGCTTCTATGGGAAAGAAAAGTTGTCGAACGTGAAATTGCCAGTTAAAACAGATCAGGACACCCTAAAAGAAGGGTACAGGTATCCTTATCTTGGGAAAAAATTATATTTAACTTCATTCTTTTCGTTGGATTCAACTATATTTTCATCCTGCTGTCCACTAATCTAGATGCATCTCATTGGGTGTGCATGAGAGCTTGGTTTGTGATGAAATTGTCCTTTCATTAATGAGAAGTTTAAAAATACTATGCTGTACTTTGGGTTGTCACAATTAGCTCCTTGTATTTTAAACCGAGACAATGTACGCCTGTACTTTATGCATGTTCCAAAGTAGATCTTCAGTCAATAATTAAATATTATCTTTAAACTAAATATGGATGCATTGCACGTTAAGTGTGTTTCTATGGAATAAAAGGATAATTTCCTCTATAATAGTACATATCGCTCCCTGCTTCCCCTAAAATAAAGTAGTCAATCCCATACCAATCAACATCTCGGTTTTTTTATGGGAGCGTTTGTTACTCTGTAACTGTGGTTACTGTTTCAGATTTATTGCTCTTTTATGTTTTATCTATAATTTTATATGTGCACAATTTGGTATTCTAATCTACTTATAGAAGATTATAGGAGGAAGTTTTATCTTCCGCTGTTGTAATATTATCTTTCTCTTCTTAATAATGCTTCTTTTTATCAAACGAAATTTTATATACAGACACACATAGTAATAACACTAATAATTAAGTTCTATAGAAATAATAAACTATTTAATTTGATACTCTATATTAAATATAAGTAATATACGGTTTCTAAAGTGAATCATTATAAATATTTAGTTTACAAGTAGATTAAATAAGTTAAATTAATAACTTCAAATATAAAAGAGAAGAATATTATACTAAAGTAAGTAAAAATTATAGTTATACAAACTTAAACATTTTTATTAAGTTTTCTTACATAAAATATAACCTTAATTTTGAAATTTTTTTGTTCTATTTTTTAAAATAAAAATTTAATATTTTTGATGATTTACTCGGTTCCAATCGGTAGCACTATTGGCTGGTATTAACCCGGTACAAAATTTAATTTATACTAGGATACATATCTATGAGCTGGTCCAGAATGTTGACTGGCCAAGACCCATATTGGTGCAATACTAATTACATTACCTAAAATCCTTAAATATACAAATCTTCCTCCCTAATTTTCGAAAAAG